AAGTTCAAAAAGAATTTAATTGAAATTCAGGAGAAATAGATGACCGAACGTACAACGAAAATGAAATTCAGTATCTTAACAATCTATTAAAGAAAGCTTTCACTTGTAGAGAAGTGGGAGATAAAATTGCTGCTGGCTTATCCGACGAAGATTTAAAAAATATGGCGTTAGCAATTATCTTTTACTCATATATTATTACGCTACAAATATTCCTTAAAGTCGAAATCATATCCGTCAAATTGCGTCAATTCTGTTACTAATTACTAAAGGAGATAGGACAAATTGCAATTAGTTTATGATTGAATTCCAATGAATTGATTAGTAATAATAATAATGGATCATTCGTTTATATCATCTTACAGGAAAATCCCTGCAATGTGTGAATGTGCAAACTACGAGTTGAACCGTCGATCTAGAATACTGCATTACCGCGATGGCAAAATAAACCCTGGATATTTAAAGGAAGCTTTTGAACATGCATCTCAGATGAATTTTACAAATGATGACGTATGTTCCATTCTTTATTGCTGTTAAGAATAATAGTTCACCAAAAATCCGAAGAAATTTATAGGAAGCGAAGATTTGGTGATGTAGCTGATGTAAATTTAAATTTTAGCACAGAAAAAAATATACGGAAAATCACTGGTCACCAGTTCAAGCTATTTTGTTCGGCGGTGAAAAAGCGCTTAATATAACTTGTGTGGCGGTACCTTGTGATGTGGTAACAGTTACGTCTCAAGAAGATCATTTAAAAATATCTCAAAGAAAGATAAATGGTAGGAAATTGTGGTTTGAATTTTTGCACAGAATTTTTATTTTAATTAATTGAAGAATTGACAGGCAGTTACTACTAAACAAACAAAGTGGTTCAAAGTATGTGATTTCAGCTCATTTCCAATTTATCCCTGATGAAATAAAAGGAAGTCCAATGAATGGAATAATTATCCCTCATAATCAACCTTCACAAATGCGCATAGAAATGCAGCCAATAAAAAATATTCTGTTGGTCATTCTTTATATTCACAGAAGCAAACTTTTAAAATATTTTAATCGTCCAACTTATGTTAAAATTATGTTAAAGCCAAAATCAATATTGAAATTTAGTTGTTTTGAAATAGCTAAAGAAGTAATTTCTGTTCTAAACATTAGATTATTAATTTAAATTTTCTTGAAATGTTACTCTCAAATGGTCATCATACTTGGGATGATATCTCTCTTTGTCTATGAACAGCAAGCAGAACAGGTAATAGTGTAAATAATTTAATTAAGAAATGTAATTAGGATTCCCGAAAATTGATGCAAAATTCTATTTAGTATTCAATGGATATAATTTTTATGGTCATGTTTGTCATTAATTTGTAATTAAATTTTCAGTGCGTGGAAAAAGAATTCTATGTCAAAAATACACGAACTGCAAAAATCAGGAGTGAGTTAATTAAAATTTAATACATCAGTATGTGGTATCCCGAAGTACTATGTTTACAGCGAAATGAATTCTGTCTAACATTTCACTACGAAAGCTTTCCATCAAATTAGAAGTATGGAATTTTCGAAGCCTAATAGGATAACCATGATTTTCAGTATCCACTGAAGTTGACCATTTTGATTAGTACCGATGACAATGTAATTCAAGAAGGCGCTAAAAGTCGAGCATTGAGTGCTGTCGAAGTTATCAGGAAGGATTTGAGTAGCGCGCCAATTTGTGTTATTACTCAACGGGATACTCGGAATAGTGTGTAAGTCAGATCTGATAGTTTCTTGGCTGCACGATTAGTCTAAAGTGTAAAGATACTAGGACGAGGTGTGGCTATGATTCCGCCAATATTCATCCAATGTTTGATAGAATCCCAATGTTTGACAAATCCCAAACATTAAATATTTTTAAAGGCGCTTCAACAAAGATTGCCGCAGAAAAAATTTGGAGTTGGATAGCTACGGCTTGGCATTAATGTTCTATGGTCATGACGTAAACGCATCGATCCTTCTCGTAGACAAAAAAGATAACAATGAAACGTTGAAAAGCAAATTTGAACTCTGGAAGGTTTGACATCTTTATTTGCTTCAGTTCAATCTTAATCGTTATTGTAAAGTCATTTTCATGTTAACAGTTAAATTCCCAAACTATATTTTTCCCTATGCTTAGTATACTTCTCTTTTTCTGATTGCATAAAATTAACCTCTTTCAGCAGAAGGAATTGCTCTTTCTCGATAGTCATCAAGCAGTAGCATTCCATTTCACTGTAGTCAATAGCACTGAGCCGAAAAATAGCGAAAAGATATTCAGGTAGGATATTTAGAATATTGGACGATGCCACCCAATTGTCAGTTTCTAGAATGACATATTGGTATAATGTGGCTCTGATCTAATAAGACCATGATCAGTAATAAACGTTTCAGTATTATAATATTCAATGAGAGTAAGCGTACTAGTAGTAATGATAGCATTATACACAATGAGAGTAAGCGTACTAGTAGTAATGATAGCATTATACACGCTACTAGTAGTAATGATAGCATTATACACGCTACTAGTAGTAATGATAGCATTATACACGCAAATACGCCAAATGAATTCGAATTTCCGACTCAGAGGATAACATAAAACGTAAACTGATCCAATGGCTGACGCAGCAATCTATTTGTTATTGGATTTCCGTATTTGAATATGTTTATTTAATTTTCGATAATTTGCAATTAATATCATTTTCTTTTCTTTGCAGTAATACATTCCCAGACATTCCGCTAAATACGCTGCGTTTACTTGATGAATCATCGATGACTGGAGTAAACTATAAAGTTGGAACGATGTCTGATTTTTATGCCGGTCCCGTGTATGCAGTTGTTGGTTTTCGAAAATTCGGTGGAAGAAATCCAGCTACAGAAAATCTTTCCGAGGAAAATGATTGGTTTTTGTGATTGATTGACTGCTTCACTGAGAGAGTTTAGATGAGGAAGTGTATATCTGTCGACAAGCCATTCTATTGTTTTGGAAGCAGCTTGAACCATAAAGGCATTGTTTATGAAGTGTGATAAATATTTGATAAAATATAAAAATGAATGATTTATTTGAAGTCGAATATGCACGATCATGCAAAATATGCAAATTGAATAGCCCGTTTTTGTGCTTTGGAAACAAAACCATGATTAGATTGTTGATTTATTAGGCCAGAAATAGCTTGCATTTTATGTTGAATCAATTCTTGTTGTCGGTTCCCCTTTATTAATATGACAAGAAATGCATGTATTTTGGAAATTTAGACTTCTTTTTTGAAAGTTCTGAAATTTTGAATTTCTTTGGAATATTTTGAAATTTGGAATTTCCTGCTTATAATTAACAATACTTCTTTAGATTTTCCAAAATTTTGAATCATATAAATTTTTCTGTATTTTTGAATTTCTTGTTTTTTGCCTACTGCATGCTTTTTTATTAGCTTTACTTGCTGCGCACCTGTTTCCAATTAATTGTTGCTAATGCATGTGTTTTTGATAGTTCCATTTACCGTTACTTTCTTACCAGCCTTATTTATATTACCTCCCTTTTTTAATTAATTCCGATTTCCGAGTAAATCATGCGAACACCTGTTTATGACATATTTTTCTATTGGCCTTGTTTTTTATTGCTTTCCATTCTTTTTTTTGATTGTTTTTTTTGTTTTTAAGCCTCTATTTATTTTTTTCTTTTGCTCATTCACACTAATCAAGCGTTCATTTGAAGCATGCGGAATGTAACATCACTCCTTCTTGCCAGAATAACTACTTACAACATTTACCATAGAATTATCACATATTTTGACCTAAGGTCACTATTTGACAGCCTCAAAAGAACTTTTTGTCTCAAAATAATGGGAGGAAAGAAAAGTGAAAATCTAATTAGACCTAGAAAATTCCGACAGAATGCACATGGTTGGAGATTCAGAATTCCTCCCTTTTGCATCATACTTTTACTGTAATTAAAAAAAAATGATATTAAACCATTACGATTATATTTTTAATTCTGATTATGCAATTTTAGCGAATAATCCTTCCTGCCTCAATCAAATAAAAATTCAATGAATGAAATGATTATCCCATACAATTTGCATTCAGAAACGGACAAACACCGAATATTAAAGGCAATGATTATTATCATTTTGGTCATCCTTTATATCCACAGATGTAAACTAAAATATTTTAACTGTCTGAGTTATGTTAAAGCCAACCGATATTGATTGAGATTTAGTTGTTTTGGAATAACTAAACGAGTAATTTCTGTTCCAAACATTGCATGATTTAAATTTTCTTGAAATGTCTCTACCAAATGGTCATCATACTTGAGTGACAATGAAATATCTCTCTCTTTAATATACTAAGAAAAACAAGCAGAAGAGATAATAGCACAAACGATTTAATTAAGAAATGCAATTAGAATATAATTCATTCTGCTCCAAAAGACCAATGCAAAAATTCTACCGAAATACTCAATGGGTATGTCGTGAAATAGTAAAGACTGCCAGATAATTTATTTGCCGAACTCAGTGTTGGGTAATCAAACTCCAATCAAAT